GGGGTCTGTGTGAGTTGGGGTCTGTGTGAGTTGGGGTGTGTGAGTTGGGGTGTGTGTGAGTTGGGGTGTGTGAGTTGGGGTGTGTGTGAGTTGGGGTGTGTGTGAGTTGGGATGTGTGTGAGTTGGGGTGTGTGAGTTGGGGTGTGTGAGTTGGGGTGTGTGAGTTGGGGTCTGTGTGAGTTTGGGTCTGTGTGAGTTGGGGTGTGTGAGTTGGGGTGTGTGTGAGTTGGGGTCTGTGTGAGTTGGGGTCTGTGTGAGTTGAGGTGTGTGAGTTGGGGTGTGTGTGAGTTGGGGTGTGTGAGTTGGGGTCTGTGTGAGTTTGGGTCTGTGTGAGTTGGGGTGTGTGAGTTGGGGTGTGTGTGAGTTGGGGTGTGTGAGTTGGGGTGTGTGTGAGTTGGGGTCTGTGTGAGTTGGGGTCTGTGTGAGTTGAGGTGTGTGAGTTGGGGTGTGTGTGAGTTGGGGTGTGTGAGTTGGGGTCTGTGTGAGTTGGGGTCTGTGTGAGTTGGGGTGTGTGAGTTGGGGTGTGTGTGAGTTGGGGTGTGTGAGTTGGGGTGTGTGTGAGTTGGGGTGTGTGAGTTGGGGTGTGTGTGAGTTGGGGTGTGTGTGAGTTGGGGTGTGTGAGTTGGGGTCTGTGTGAGTTTGGGTCTGTGTGAGTTGGGGTGTGTGAGTTGGGGTGTGTGTGAGTTGGGGTCTGTGTGAGTTGGGGTCTGTGTGAGTTGAGGTGTGTGAGTTGGGGTGTGTGTGAGTTGGGGTGTGTGAGTTGGGGTCTGTGTGAGTTGGGGTCTGTGTGAGTTGGGGTGTGTGAGTTGGGGTGTGTGAGTTGGGGTGTGTGTGAGTTGGGGTGTGTGTGAGTTGGGGTGTGTGAGTTGGGGTGTGTGAGTTGAGGTGTGTGAGTTGGGGTGTGTGAGTTGGGGTGTGTGAGTTGAGGTGTGTGAATTGGGGTGTGTGAGTTGGGGTGTGTGAGTTGGGGTCTGTGTGAGTTGGGGTGTGTGAGTTGGGGTGTGTGAGTTGGGGTCCGTTTCATTCCCCCCCAGTTTCTGAGCATCTAGCGGGTGCGTGCACTGTGCGAGGTGGGCTGGCTGGGGCGGGGGCACAGCTGCAGGGCTGGGTGGGTGGGAGCTGGGATGGGCCTCACCCCCACCCCCCTGCACCTGGGGCAGCGCCCTCAGTCCCTGGGCTGGAGTCCTTGGCAAAGGCCGGCTCCCTCCCTTCCTGGAGATGGGGGAGGGAGGGAGGGGGGAGGGGGAGGGGCACTGCCCAACACATGGGTGCCGGGCCTGACCTCCGCTCACCCTCCCCACCCAGCAGCCCTCCCCTCCCTCCCTCCCTCCCTCATTCCCTCCCTCCCTCCCTCCCTCCTTCCCTCCCTCCTTCCCTTCCTCCCTCCCTCCTACCCTCCCTCCCTTCCTCCCTCCGCAGACCATTGGCCGAAGCCTGAAGTAAGCCCTGCCCATCAGTGGCTCTGCCCTGTGAGCATTTGGTGCCCGGGCCCCTGGGGCGCCTGTGAGCCCCAGGCTGCAGGCGGGCGGTGGGACGGCCTGGAGGGCCAGGTCCGGGTGGAGGCGGCTCTGGGCATCGGCTGCTCTGCAGGGTGAGGGAGGACTGTCAACGGGCCTTGTGCGGGCCTGGTGCAGCCCCTCCGGTCCCTGCGGGTGGCCCCGGCTTCCTCGCCCGCTCCTCGCTCCCTCCCGGGCCGGGCCAGCAGCCGCACACGCGGGCACATGCAGGCACATGTGGGCCCGCGGGCCGGGCCTGTCCCATCAGCCCCCTCTCCCGGGTTCGCACTGAAAACAAAACAACCGCCAGGTCCCTGCTGCTGCCAAGCGGGTATCACCGGGCCCCCATCTCCACCCCCACCCTCACCCCCACCGGAGGCTCCTCCCTGGCCCCGCCTCGGCCCCCGCCGGGTGGTCCCTCCGAGCCCCTGGCCACCAGGAAGGAAACGCAGCCATGGTGACCACACCCGCCCCGTGGGAGTGGGCGGCGGCACGCAGAGCCCCAGCCACACGAGCAAACAGCACCCAGACCAGCGCCGCCTCCGGGTGCGGGCAGAGGCTCCCTGGGGAAGCAGGACCACGGGGGGCAGTGCCATCGGAGGGCGCTCAGCGGGCCACTGTGGTGTGTCCCCGGGGTGGGGGGCACGGCCCGGCACCAGGGCGAAGGTGCCGCTGAGCCTGCCCGTCCCCGGCCGCGCAGGGGTGGGGCGGGGGCTGCAGAGGAGGCTGGGGGACCGGGGCTGCGGGTGCGAGGCGCTCGCTCGCCTGCCTGCCACGGCCACACTCCCCCGGGGCTGCCAGCGCCGATCCTATCAGCCAGCCGGTGACTAAGCCCTGGCACGGGCGCAGGAGAAGAATGCGGACAAGTCAAAAGCTGAGCAGCGCTGCCGTGGGCCGCCCGTCTCCTCCCGGGCGGCCGGGCAGACCCGGAGCTCCCCTCCGTGTCCCCCCGGGGACGCGGGGTCACAGGACACGCCTGAGGCTGCAGCTCTTCCACAGCCCAGAGCTCCCCGAGGCCCTCCGGTCACTGAGAGAGGGACCTCGGCACCGGGCGGGACCTCCACCCTCCCCACCCAGGACCCCGGCCCCGCCTCCTGGAGTGGGAGGGGCCAGCTCACACCTGGTCCTCATCCCGGTCACTGGTACCTGGGCCTGTCCCGGGTCGTCACCCCCCTCAGCCTCCCTCCCTCTTCCCTCCTTTCTTTCCTCCCTCTCTCCCTGCCTCTCTCCCTCCTTCCTCCTTCCTTCCCTCGCCTGCCACCCCCTGTCCAGCCGCCCCCGGAGCGATGCTGGCCGTGAGAAGGCAGTGCCCGCACAGGGTGTGTAGCAGGAACGGGGTGAGAGCTTGGCGGCCACGGTCGGAGCCCAGGCCAGGGCGGCGGCGGGTGGATCCAGAGCCTCGCCCGCAGCCCCGGCAGGAAGGGGGACGCGCAGGGGAAACGTGTCCGTCATTCCCCGACGCGCTGGCTCAGAGGGTCCTCCACAGGACACGGGGAGGGGGCGCCTTCCTGCCCTCCATGGCCCCGGGCCTGGGCCCCCGCCCTCAGCCCCTGCACGGCTCCGTCACACTGGCCAGGCTGACCGTGCCCGTGTGGCCCGTGGCCCGTGTGGCCTTGTGGCCGTGTGGCCCGCGTGGGCCGTGTGGCCCGTGTGCCCGTGGCCGATGTGGCCTTGTGGCTGTGGCTGCGGGGGGGGGGTCAGCCTGGGTGCTCGGTGAGTGTGTGTCCCTGGGGGGCCCGCAGCCCTGGGCAGACAGGAACCTCGGGCTCATGGAGCCGAGTCCTCGGGGGGGGGGCGCTGTGGTCCCCGCTTGCAGCTCTGGGCCGGAGGCCGCCCCCACCCTGCGCTCCGCTTCGTGGGCTGCAGTTCACGGAACACGCGTGGGCCTCTTTCAACTCACGCTTTTGGCGTGTTCACGGCTGGGGAGCCCTGCAGTGAGTTCCAGGATGTTCCAGCCCCCCAGAGGGGACCCGCGCCCTCAGCCAGAGGCTCTGCCGGCCCGGCCCTGGGCCCTGGGCCCCCGCGGCACCGAGCGCAGGCGCTGCCTCAGCCGAGCTCGCGGCCCTCGGAGGCCGTTTTCCTGGCGGAGGAAGAGCCCGAGCCCAGAGCCGCCTCACCGTTCGTGGGGCCTCCCCCGCCCCGCTTATGGCGCCAGGCTAAGACCCTCCCATCCTGGAGTCGGCCTCAGGGTGCGGGGTCGTGGCCTCCGTGAGCGCCTGCCTCCTGTGCCCGCCCTCTGCCGGCACCTGCATCCCCGCGTCCCATCCCTGTGTCCCTGTCGGAGCTTCAGTGCAGCATCTTCCGGCGGGAGGGGCCGGGGCTCCCGACTCATCCTGACACACGGGGCGGGGGGAGGGGCAGGGGCGGGGGGTGCCCTGGGCTGTGCGGAGTGGGGGCAGGCCATGCAGCCCAGCCCCCGGGGGGAGAGAGCCTGGGTGCAGCAAGGGCTGAGCCCGGGGTGCGCATGCTTTTGCACTTGGAGGAGGCAGGGAGACCCCAGACAAAAGCCCCCACAATTTACATGACCCCCGAGGTTCTGGCTCCACCCCCACCCCCATGGACGTCTGGCTGGGCTCCCGGCCACCCCCGAGGGCCGCTCCATCACCCACGTCACTGCCACTCCGTGCCTCAGTTTCCTCAATTTGTAAAACGGAGACACAAACAGTGCCCACCACCTCGGGCCTGTGGGGGGCCCCTGGGACCTGGGAGCTCCGGGTGCAGGCGGAGCTGGGGCAGCGTGTGAGGCCCCTTGGCCAGCCCCGCTGGTCCCTGCCCCGCCCTGCAAAGCCTCCTGATTGGGGGGGGGCCTCCCTGCCGGCCACGGGGGTGGGGGTGGATCGGATCTGCCCTGGATTTGAGGCACCGTGGCCATAGAGGGTAGCAGGGACACACCCACACAGGGAGCTCGGGCGCCTGTCCACTGTGGTGCGACCTGGGGAGGAGCCGGCCCGGGTGCAGACCGGCAGAGGGGTGTCCACGGGGAGCTGCCAGCAGGAGACACCGGGGGGGGGGCGAGGTGGCCATAGGAGGAGCCCACCTCTCAGGCCTTCAGCCCCCATCCCAGCCCCCCTCCCGCATGGCAGACACAGGGAGCAATCTGTCCCCCAGCGCCTCCCAGGCATCCCCCCCGAGCCCGGGGCGTGTCCCCCTGTATGATGGGGCCCACAGCCCGGTTCCCAGGGTCCAAGGTCTCCCACGTGAGCTGTGCCGGGCCGGCGGGGAGGACGCAGGGTGGGGCCGGGCTGGGCCACCCCCCCCCCCCCAGACAGCGGCCTCCAGGTGCGCAGGGAGCCGGGAGCGGATGGAGGGGAGGGTGAGGTGAGGATGATGCCAGTTTATCCCGCACAAGTAGTGACCTGCCAGGGCGGGGGGGACCCGGGAAACGTGGGATGACGGGGCGCTGGCCCTTTAAGGCTGCTGTAACAGGACACCTTCCAGACGGGACGGGCGCTCCCGCTCGCTGCAGCCTGACGGCCCCCTCCCTCCCTCCCCGCTTCCCGCCAGGCCCAGTTCAATCTGCTGAGCAGCACCATGGACCAGCTGGGCGGCCGGGCCGCCGCCGCCAGCCCCTACCCTGCCGAGCACGCGGCCAGCGTGCCCACCCACTCCCCGTACGCCCAGCCCAGCTCCACCTTCGACACCGTGTCGCCCGCGCCCGTCATCCCCTCCAACGCCGACTACCCGGGCCCCCACCACTTCGACGTCACCTTCCAGCAGTCCAGCACTGCCAAGTCCGCCACCTGGACCGTGAGTGCCAGCCCCGCGGGCACGGCGGGGGGAGGGGCCCGCGGGAGGCCCATCCTGGGTGCCCGGCGTCCAGTCCGGCTGTCCGCAGGTTCCCGGCCGGGCCGCCCCGCGGGAGGAGCGTCAGGCGGGAGGCGTGTCCCGGGGCTGGGCAGTGTGGGTGTGCCCAGCCCTCGGACGTGTGGCCAGAGCTGGGCAGCATCCCGCGGGGCCTGGGGGCATGGACGTGGCTCCTGGCGAGGTCTGCGGGGGGGGGGGGGGGGGCTGAGCAGTTCGCCGAGGCAGGCGGGCGGGCACTCCGTGCTGAGGCGGGGGCTCCGGGTTGGACCCCGTCCTGGGTGGGCGGGGGCACACGGCTCTGCTGCCTGGAGCCCCCGGGCCGGTGTGTGGTCGGCACCAAGTGGCTGGTGGTTGGTGGATGTGGCTTTGTCTTTGAGTGCGGCTGTCATCTCTACGCAGGGCCTGAGGCAGGGAATCAGGAGAACCCGGTCTGGCATCTGGCCCCAGATCGGGGGGCAGGGAGGAGGGAAGGGGGGGAGGCAGGTAGTGAGCCAACCCTGATGCCCTCCTGAGCACCTGACCCCGCAGGCTGGGCCTGGGCTCAGTGCCTGAGGTCGCATGAACTCTCGAAACCACTGAGCCACCCGCAAGGTAGACCCTGCCATCGCCCGGTGTTACAGCCGAGTTAACTGAGTCACGAGTGTGCAGATGTGGGTGGGTGCTGGCCTGGGCAGCCGAGGATGGGACTCAGCCTGAGTTCCTGACCACAATGCAGCCGGACAGGAAGGGGCAAGATGCCAAGACCCCGGCAGACCCAGGGCTGCCTCCGAGGGCTGGGCACACAGGGCCCTCCGGTCTCCTGCCCGCCCCTGAAAGGGGGAGCGTAGTCCGGCCCTGGCACTCATCCCGGGACGCCTGGCAGTGCCACCTCCTCCAGGGAGCAGCCCGTGCTCACACCACCTGGAAAGGGAACCCGATCAGGAAGTCTAGGCAGGGTGTCTGTTCTCTCCCCCGTCCCCCCGTCCCCCCGCCCCCAGGAACAGCGAGCAGGTGACCCCATGCTCTGCCCCTTTAAGAACCCACTGCCCCGATGGTGAGGCTGTGGTTTTCCCACGCTCCTGGGGGTGGGGCAGGGAGGGCAGGTCCACCGTGGGGTCAGTGCCCGGTCTCCTCACTTGTGAACTGTCTCTCCCACGCCCCGCGCTGAGCGGACAGGGTGCCCCGGCCGCACTGTGCGGGCGGGGCTCGGGCGGGCACAGCTGGCGAACTGGCTTCATTTTTACCTCCTCGGCAGACAGGGCGCGGTGGGGCACTAGGAGGCAGGCCTGCCGGGAACTGTCTCGGCCTCTATGGCCTGTGGTCCGGGTCCTCACACCCCACTTTGCCGGTGACGGGGAGCCCGGCCGGGAGCCCCCTCATCCTCACCTCGCAGCCCCTGGTTCGCTCCAATCTGATCCCGAGTCCAGGCTTGTTCCCTGAGCCTCCTCTCCCCTGGGAGGGGCAGCCCCCCCCCCCCCCGCACTCATTCTGCCATCAGGGCTGAGTTACCGGTCCGGGGTCCTGGCCGGAATGGGCGGGGAGGGGGGGCTGTTCTCTGTCTGAGGATGGAGGATGCGGGAGAGTGTCTGCTGGGTGCGGCCTGCAGCGCCTGGAGGTCTGAGCCGGCCCCGGGGGCACAGGAGCTGCCCCTGCCGGCTGCCTCCCCCCCGGGCCTCTGCCCCCTCCCGGGTGCCACCACCACCGCCGCCAGCTGAGCGGCCCCGGAGGGCGTGACAACTGTCCCCCCAGAATGGAGGCAGCCCACCCGCCCCCTCAGGGGCAGGGCGAGGCCCCCCTGTGTCCATCGCTCTGCCTCCAGGCGACAGCCGCCCCGGCTCCCTCCCTCTCCAGGATGTCACCGCATCCCTCCTGCGGGGCCTCGGCTCTGGCTCCACTCCAGCGGCTGAGCTGCTGCTGCCGCCCCCCCCCCCCCCCCCGCACTGGGGGTGCAGGCTGTGGGGGGACAAACATCGATAATGAGATTTTTGGCGCCTTGGCCCTCGGCAAGCAGACCCCCCGCAGGCTCCTCTCCGGCGGGAGGGTGGGCAGGCCCGCGCACCGTCCGGGGCCGCCAGGCTGGCCGCCGCTCACGGCTCCGGGGTCTCGCCGAGCGGGCGCTGCCCGGACTTGCTGCCCGGCCTCGGCGCCTCGCCGGCCGCTGGTAACTGATAGATAACGCGTGTTTTTCTCCAGTGCCGTCCGATTGACTGCTGTCTTCGCTCCTCTTCCCGCTCAGGGACGCACCCCCCGCCCCGGGGCCACGCTGTGAACTGGCCTCTGGCCTCGGCCTGGCCCGGGGGCGCGGGTCACCCCACCGCCCGGGCGGGGCTTCTGCTCTGGGGCTTCTGCTCTGCGGCTTCATGCCTCACGCCTGTCCCTTAGGCACCAGGGTCTGCAGCCCTCGGCTCACAGGTGTGTGCCTGTGTGCGTGCAAATGCAAGCAATGCACACACGTGCAAGCACCATACACACGTGCAGATGGACACACGCCCACGTGTGCAGGTCTGAGCTGGCCCCAGGGGGACGGGAGCTGCTCCCTGGTCGTGCCCAAGGTCCTGACCAGCCTGCCGCCACTGGAGGCGGGAGGAGGTGGTCTCAGGCACCAGCAGCTGCCGAAGGGACTGTGCTGCCGGGCCGGGCCGGGCCGGGCCTGCGGGATTAGGCCGCGGAGGGTGCTCAGGGGGAGGAGCACAGCGGAGCTGCCTGCGTCCGGCCCGGCTGGGCTGAGGGGAGACGGGCGCTGTGAGTTGTGGAACAGAGGAAGCCCTCGGGCACAGATGTGTCTTGGACCAGGGGGAGGGGGGGGATAAGGGGGGGGGAGCCAGGTGTCTGTCCCTGTTCCACACCCTCCGCCCTATCCCCCACGGGCGGGCCGTGTTGGGGACAGACGGCGGCGACAGGAGTCACAGAAGCAGAGGGAGGAGCAGCCGTGGGGGGGGGGGTGTGGACCCCTCCAGCCCGGCTCACCTCTGCCTGCTCTGGCTGTGCTGCTGCTGAGATGTGGGGGGGAAGGGGGGCGTGCTGGCACTCGGAGGCAGGCGGGAGGGAGCCCTGGTGAGGGTGGAGGCCGCCCAGGCTTGGGGCACCTCCGGGCGGCGAGGGGCCCTGCCCTCAGTCTGCAGGGCAGGCAGCAGGGCACAGCGGGGAGGTTTTGCAGTGTGGGCCCTTTTGGGGGGCAGCCTGGACGCGGCCTTCACGTGACCTCCAAATGCCCCAGACCTGGTGCACTTGCCCATGCGTGCGTGTGTGAGTGTATGCATGTGTGTGTGGGTGTGCACGGGTATAAGTGTGTGCATGTATGTGTGTGGGTGTGTGGGTGTGCATGCATGCATGTGTATGGTGTATGCATGCGTGTGTGTGTGGGGGGGAGTGTGTGGGTGTGCATGCATGCATGTGTATGGTGTATGCGTGTGTGTGTATGCATGTGTGTGTGGGTGTGCACGGGTATGAGTGTGTGCATGTATGTGTTGGTGTGTGGGTGTGCATGCATGCATGTGTAGGGTGTATGCGTGTGTGTGTGGGGGGGGGAGTGTGTCCATCCTTGGCAGCAGCACTCCCGGCCGGAGGGGGTGTGGGAGGCGGCGGGCACCGGGCTGCGCAGGCTCCGGGTGGAAGGGGCTGAGTCAACGCCGCCCGCCGTGGGGGAACAGTTCCAGCCGGGAGGCTGCGGGCGGGAACGGCGGGAAGGTGTCCCAACACGACGCCCGGCGCTCCGCGGCCTGAGGAATGTGCCGGGAACTAATCCTCTCCTGGCACCGGCGGCAGGTATGCGCCCGGGAAGCCAGCAGCGTCCGCTCCTGCGGAGGCGAGCGGGGGTCAGGAGGGGGGGCAGCGCACGGAGGCCCCCCCGCCCGCAGGTGGAGGCGCGGGGGCGGGACAGCTCGCTGCAGGCGGCCCTGGCGGGGAGAGGACCGGGCTGGGGGCTGTGCTGGGGTCACTCACCTCTCGGGCAGCCGGGAGCCCCTGGGCCTGCAGTCACAGGACTTACAGCCCTGCCTCACCCCCTGGTTTTCGCAGGGACAGCTCCCTAGTTGGGGCTGCGGGCAGGGCACGCCACCACCCAGGTTTGATGGAGAAGCATCTCCTGTATCTGCTGGTCTTTTCGTCGTTGCATCCTCACCCGAGGATATGTTTCCGTTGATTTTAGAGAGAGTGGGGGAGAGAGGGAAAGACAGAAACATTGATGTGAAAGAGACACATCAACTGGCTGCCTCCTGCACAGGCCGGGGAGGACCCTGCAACCTAGGCATGTGCTCTTGATGGGAACTGAACCCAGGACTCTTCGGTCCGCAGGCAGATGCTGTATCCACTGAGCCACACCGGCCAGGGCTGCAGGGTCTTTTTCCAACGAGCCCCACGTCGCAGGTCCGGGCCACAGGAATGAGGGCACCGAGGCTCGAAGGGCAGGTCCCTGCCATGGTCACCTGTCAGCCCCTGGCTCAGCGGCCAGGTCACCTGCTTAGAAACTGGAACTCGGTGGTCCCGGCTCCCAGGACCCTCAGGCGGTTCAGCAAAACCTCGGCTGCTTCCGCCCTGAACGAAAAGCTGAGAGGACCGTGCGCAGGTCCTCGGGGTGCGGATCCCCAGGCTCACAGAGGCCCCGGCCTCCCCGCTGGCCGGGAGCCGGTTCACTCACTGCTTCTGGACAGAAATGAACGGGGCCCTGGACTAAGGACACACCTGCAGCTTCCGGGGCAGGAGGGGGAGAGGGAGGGGCCCTGAGCATCGGCCACGGCAGGGCCTGGCCCGGCCTCCTCCCTCCTCTCCCACAGCACCTGCCTCTGGGCCAGCGCCAGCCCCGCAGGACACGGGAGGGACTGGCCCTGTGCTGCCCGCTGGCACCGGGCCCAGCAGCGATGAGAATGGCGCGCCAAAGCCAGAGGCTCCAAGCCTGCCCTGCAGGCAGAGTGCCCGCGGAACCAGCACCTGCCCAGGTGGCCGACCCTCCCAGTCCCCAGGGCAGACCAGGCCAGGCCAGCCGGAGAGCGTGAGGGGGGTGGGAACGGGGACCAGGGAGCAGGGGAGGGCCCGGCCTGCGGTGGGCAGAGCCACTGGCCACCCGTCTCCCCGTCCCCACGCAGGGCAGCTCTGGGGCCTGGCCCACAGCCCCCGCCGGGTCCCTGCCAGCGCGTTTGCCCACGAGGCCCGCGGCGGGAGGGCGGGCGCCTGCCACCCAGGGCAGCTTTGTGGGCTCTGCAGCTGGCAGTCAGCAGGCAGTTTGTGGGCAGGGTGACCCCGCTTTGGACCGGGCTGGGCCTGAGGACACGGCCACCGTGTGTGCGTTGGAGTGGGGCTCCCTGCAGGCCCAGCCCTGTCCCTGAGGCCCCTGAGCATGACCCGCTCCCCCCCGGTCCCCTCGGGGTGCAGGGAAGCCAGAGGAGGTGCCTGGCCTGCAGACCGAGGACTGAGGGAGGCCCGGCCCCTGGCCCACCACAGCCCTCCCCCTTCCGGGCTGGGCCGTCTCCTGCTGGCCAGGCTGCTGATGTGGCCTCTGACCCGCTGGTGCCGTGGCCTCTCCTGGCCACTCAGCGTACCCCTGCTGCCCGCCCCCCGCCCCAGGACCTTAGGCCAGCACTGAGCATCCCAGAGGTCTCTGCTGGCTGAGCCCACGAGGGATGAGCAGGCCGAGCAATGGGATCTGGGGGGGGAGGATTTGGGGTCAGGCTGTCTGGCTCCTGAAAGGCCCCCAGTCCCAGGCTCCCTCTCCCCAGTGGGCAGCTCCTGGACAGGTTCCTGGTCACTCAGCGTCTGCGTGGTTCTGTGTCCCGTGGACCCTCCCTGAGCTCTGGTGAGGGGACCCGGCTGTCAGCCTGCGTGGGGTGCCAGCGTGTCCCCTCCCAGCCCGTCCCAAGGACCACAGCGGGAGCCGGCATGTCGGGGGCCAGCCCTGGCTCTACAGGTGACGGGGTCCCTGCCGGCTCCAGCCACCCGGCCCGGGGCACGTCGGGGTGCTGCCTGTGGGCTGTCGTGTTCGTGCTCTGAGGCAGGCTGAGGGGCTGTCATGGGTGGCCCCCCCCTCCTCCCAAGGCTGGTGGCTTCCCTGCGGCCCTGTCCCAGCCTCCTGGCACCTGTCAGAGCCACCCTGCAGCTCCCGCTGAGTGAGACAGAGAGCTGGGCAGTGAGCTGGGCAATGAGCAGGGAAATGATCCAGGCAGTGAGGTGGGCAGTGATCCGGGCAGTGATCTGGGCAGTGAGCTGAGCAGTGATCCGGGCAGTGAGATGGGCAGTGAGCCAGGCAGTGACGTGGGCAGTGAGATGGGCAGTGAGCTGAGCAGTGATCTGGGCAGTGAGGTGGGCAGTGATCCGGGCAGTGAGATGGGCAGTGAGCCAGGCAGTGAGGTGGGCAGTGAGATGGGCAGTGATCCGGGCAGTGAGATGGGCAGTGAGCCAGGCAGTGAGGCGGGCAGTGATCTGGGCAGTGAGGCAGGCAGTAAGGTGGGTAGTGATCCGGGAAGTGCATGGTGTCGGGCCCCTCAGGGGCTGGAGCCACTGTCCTGTGGCTCGTGTCACCCTGGAGGCCCCTCTTCACCAGGAAGGAGAGATGGTCCCTGACCCGGGGCCACGGGCTCAGGGGCAGGCGGCCTGGGTTCCCTGTGAGCCTGATGACAAGGCCCCGAGCTGCAGCGAGGGGTGTCCCCGGTGAGAGGGCCTGGCCTTGGGGAGGGGGGGTCCTCAGAGAGGAGAGAACGTGGCTCTGCACACGGGCACACACGCACAGAAAGCAGATAAAAGTGGGCCCTGAAAAATCACTTAAAAAACAGCCCCCTCCGTCCCCCGCCCTCCGCAGCCTGGTCTTCCAGAATCTGTTGTAACAGATTCGCCCGAGCTGGTTAACGGTATTTGCGGTTTGCAAGATGCTGCATGTCCCTGGAAAATGACAGACAAGTTATTATCACCTCTCCACTCTGCTCCTGCCCGGGCCTGCCCACGGCGGGCGCTGGGCACCCCGCAGTGAGGAGTGGGCGCCAGGAATTAACAGCCCCGCGCCTCGCCCGCCACCCAGCGCCGCCGCCGCCTGCCCAGGCCCCTCAGCCCGGCAGACCCGAGCTCCCAGGCAGGCCGGGCCCCGAGGCTGGGGGTCGGAGAGGCGTGGGGTCGGAGGAAGGAAGCGGGGAGGGGGGCGCGGAGAGGGCAGGGTGGGCATCCCCCAGTGTGTGGGCACAGCGTTTCCTGCGAGCGTTGCCTGCGAGCAGGCAAGTCCGGGCGGCTCCGTGTCAACAGCCGAAGATAAATAAGATTTTATCGGCTCCGAATCTGTTGAAACACATCCATCTAGCGGTTCCGGGGAAGGAGAGGCGGGAGGGAGGGCAGGCGGGCGGGGAGGGCGTGTCTCCACGGGACCTTTCCCACGGGCCCGGAGGGGACCGGGTATCCCTTCGGCCCTATGTCCTCAGTGCCCAGCCAAGGCCCAAGTCCCGGGAGGAGGGGCGCCTGGTGCAGGAGGGGGCCCTGCGGGTCTCACCTGCCCACCCCAGGCTCGGCCTTTCCCTGCTGCCCACCCCGCGGCCGGCATCACCCCTGGTGCTGCCAGGAGCGGGGACCAGGGCAACGTGGCCCTTGTTGGGTGGGGCGGGCAGGTGGGTGCCAGAGGAGCAGGCGGCAGGGAGCACCCGGCGGGACCCTGTGGGGAGCGGGGCCGGGGCTCACCAGGACGGGGAGGGAGGGAGGGAGGGAGGGAGGGAGGGAGGGTGAGCCGCTCCCCGGGGGTTCCCGGCGCCTGTCCCCCCCGCTGCTGGCCCAGGTGAGGCCTCCATCCCGGCAGCACCCTGCTTCCCAGCCTGTCCGCTCCGGGAGAGGCAGCACCAGGGACAGCTCCCCGGCTGCTCCTGGGCCGGCGACAGCGAGCGCCCCCTGCCCCCCGACTGTGCCATGGCCGCTGCTGCAGGTCCGCGTTTCCGGGCTCAGATGGGGAGTCCAGACCCACAAGCACCACTGCCCCCCCGCCCCCACGAGTGTCATCGGGGCTTGTGCGCGGAGCTGGGCTCGGCTGGGAGCGGCCCCTCCTGTCGGACCAGGCTGCTCAGGCGGGAGCTCCCGCTCTCTGACCCAGGGCTGTCTGGGTGCTGGGGGTGGGGGGGGGAGGGTGAGGGGGCACGTCACTCAGCTGCGCCTGGAGCCCGGCTCCACCCCGTGGGAGCTGGCTGCTGGCCCAGGTGGCCCCCTCCCTGGTCTCTCCCCCCCTGTGCTGGGGCTGCCAGACTCTCGGCCCTACGGACCCCATCACTCCTCCTGCCCGTCACTCTGCCGTCACTCCTGCCCGCCCCTGCTGTGGCCCCAGCACACGGCTGCAGCCGGGGTTCGTGGCAGGAAAAGCCAGGTGGGCGCACAGCCCCCACACAGGACTGTAGGGGGGGGGCTGAGGCCGGAGGACTGGGTTCGCTGGGTAAAGTGGGAGGGCGGGGGGGAGGAGAGACCCCGGTCAGGCTCGCAGGCCCCCTCCCCCAGCTCCGGTCCTGCTCCTGCCTCCACTGTCCTCGCCCAGACAAGGGCACAGGTGCCCACTCTCCAGGGTGAAGCCACACGGAGGCTCAGTGGCCGCGGTGTGGGCCGGTCCTCGGGAGCGTGGGGCGGGGCGCCTCCCGTGGGCGGCACAGGAGCGTGTGGAGCCAGGACTTGGCCTCACCCCCCGCCCCCGCCCCGGCCAGTACTCGCCGCTGCTGAAGAAGCTGTACTGCCAGATCGCCAAGACGTGCCCCATCCAGATCCAGGTGTCCACGCCGCCGCCGCCGGGCACCGCCGTGCGCGCCATGCCCGTCTACAAGAAGGCGGAGCATGTGACCGAGGTGGTGAAGCGCTGCCCCAACCACGAGCTCGGGCGCGACTTCAACGAGGGTGAGGCCACGGGAGGGGCTGAGGGGGGCCCAGCGTCCCCCCTTTTCCTCCTGCTGGGCGGGTGCCTGAGGAGAGCGGGCAGGGCTGCCGGGCCTGGCACCCCCAGGGCACCGGGGCTCTGGCCTGCGTCCCACCCAGAGGCCCAGGGCCCAGGGCAGGAGGTGCTGAGTGCGGGACACACCGGGCCCCGGGGCGGCCAGACCCCTGGGCGCCTCTGAGGCCGTGTCCCCTCTGGCAGGACAGTCTGCCCCCGCCAGCCACCTCATCCGCGTGGAGGGCAACAGCCTCTCGCAGTACGTGGACGACCCTGCCACGGGCAGGCAGAGCGTCGTGGTGCCCTACGAGCCGCCCCAGGTAGGCCGGGCAGTTGGGCAGGGCCACAGGCACCGTGGGGGGACCAGGATGCAGGGCAGGGCCATGGGCACCCATGGGAGGACCAGGATTCTGGACAGGGCCACGGGCACCCGTGGGGGGCCGGGCAGACCCTCTGTCCCGTGTCCCCAGGTGAAGTCCATGGCATGGGGCACCTCCCTCACCCCAAGGGCCTGCTCCTGCGGCCACCTCACCCTCGGGACGCTCTGGACACCAGGTCCCCATCTACGGGGGGAGGGGGGATGGCTAACGACCTCTGAGCTCAGTCCTCATCTGTCCCCCTTCTTAAAATATGTTTTAATTGATTTCAGAGAGGAAGGGAGAGGAAGGGAGAGGGAGGGAGAGGGAGGGAAAGAAGCACCAATGAGGAGAGAGAATCATGGACCGGCTGCCTCCTGCACACCCCACACTGGGGATGGAGCACGCAACCCGGGCCTGTGCCCTGACCGGAAATCAAACCCTGACCTCCTGGTTCTGAGGTCGATTCTCAACCTCTGAGCCACATCTGTCTTCTCTTCGCACACACAGGACTCGAGGGGGGAAGGGCCGAGGCCGGAGGAACTGTGTTCCTTGGAACCCCAGTTCATTGGTGGATGGATGGATGGATGGATGGGTGGATGGATGGATGGATGGATGGATGGGTGGATGGGTGGATGGATGGGTGGATGGATGGATGGATGGATGGATGGATGGATGGATGGGTGGATGGATGGGTGGGTGGATGGGTGGGTGGATGGATGGGTGGATGGATGGATGGGTGGGTGGATGGATGGGTGGATGGATGGATGGGTGGATGGATGGGTGGATGGATGGATGGGTGGATGGATGGGTGGATGGATGGATGGGTGGATGGGTGGATGGATGGGTGGGTGGGTGGGTGGAAGGATGGGTGGATGATAATAGGCGGGCAGGGGTATGAGAGAACCCCGGTTAGAGCACGGCACATGTATGGCCCGGAGATGAGGGGTGACTGCTGGAAGGGGGGCTGCCAGAGATGGGCAGCGCACAGAGGCCCAGGGAGGTCGGCCCTTGATCTGAAGGCAACAGTCTGGGGTGGCATTTGGAGTCGATGGGGGCCCGGCTGGGATGAGAAGCGGGGGGTGAAGAGAAGTGGGAGTGGAGGGGCTGAGGGTGATGGTGGGCTGGGGCCAAGGCAGGAGGTGGACAGCGAGCCCTCTCCTGTTTTTTTCTGGTTCTGAAGCCACCCCGAGAGCTGTCCCTGCCCCACCCCCCCTCCCCACGGCTCCAGGCCTAAGAGCAGCACGCAGCTCAGTGGGCCAGGGCCCAGGGTGGGTGTGATGGCCCTGCCCTCTCCCCCCTCTCCTGGCCCCACCTTCACCTGCTAGGGCTGGCCTGGCCTGCACCAGGGCTCTCCTGCCCCCTGCTGGTGCTCTGGGAAAGGCTGTTTTCTGAAGCCAGTGACTGCAGTTACATTCTGAGATGGGAACCATGACAGCCCCCCATGTTGTGTGGCCATGAGCTCTGGGTTCAAGTCTCAGTGCTCCCCACACTCCCTGAGAAAGGGGCCAGGGTCTGCCATGGTGGTGCAGGCACCCTCTGCCCAGGAGAGCCCACACCATGCCCGCTCACACCATGCCCGCTCACACCATGCCCGCTCACACCCAGCCTCCAGGACTTGACCTCCAACCTGTGCCAGGAGACATGGTCAAGTAGCCAGACCACAGCACTTTGTGCCTCTCATTCAGGTCTGAGCTCATTGGTATCCAGAGCCAGCACAGTGCTTGGCATTGCCATGAATGAATAGGTACATGGGTGGGTGGGGGGGATGGATGGATGGATGATGGATAGATGAGTGGATGGATGGAAAGATGAGTGGATGGATGATGGATGGGTAGTGAGTGGATAGCAGGTGGGTGGATGGATGGATGGAAGGATGGATGGATGATGGATGGATGGATGGATGGATGGATGGATGGAAAAATGAGTAGATGGATGGATGAATGATGGCTAGATGGATGGATGGATAGATGAGTGAATGGATGGATGATGATGGATGGATGGTAGATAGATGGATGGAAGGATGGATGATGGATGGATGGATGGATGGATGGGTGGGTGGGTGGAGAGATGAGTGGATGGATGGACAGAGGATGAATAGATGGGTGGATGGATGGAAGGAAGGAATCATGGATGGATGGATAGAGGGTGGGTGGATGAGTGGGTGGATAGGTGGATAGATGGATAGGTGGATGGATGAATGGATGGGTGATGGATGGTGGGGAGGGGGTCAATGACAAAGGACCACAGAGCATGCCCCCTCCCCCGAGCCTCCCCTGGGCCAGAACCAGCGGTGAGGGATGGTGCTTTGAAGGCCAGGAGTCCCACCTTGGTGGTTTGGGGCCACGTGCTGACGCGGCAGCCCTTGCCCCCCTGCAGGTGGGCACGGAGTTCACCACCATCCTGTACAACTTCATGTGCAACAGCAGCTGCGTGGGCGGCATGAACCGCCGGCCCATCCTCGTCATCATCACCCTGGAGGCCCGCGAGTGAGCGCACAGCGGGGGGAGGGGAGGGGACACAACCCTGCTGTGGGGGGGGGCGCGGAGCCAGGGAGGCAAACAGAGGTGGCCCAAGGGGCCGAACAGGCGCCCTGCAGAGGGTGCGCGGGGAGGGAGGCCTCTGGGGCTGGGGCAGAGCTGGGCCTCGAGAGGGTATCTGAGGGCAGTGGCCCCATTAGGCGAGCTGGGCGGGGGTGGGGGGAGTGGGGGGCGGGCAGGGCTGGGCCTGAGCTCCCTCCCGCTGCCCGTGGCAGTGGCCAGGTGCTGGGCCGCCGGTCCTTTGAGGGCCGCATCTGCGCGTGTCCCGGCCGAGACCGCAAAGCCGACGAGGACCACTACCGGGAGCAGCAGGCCCTGAACGAGAGCGCCGCCAAGAGCGGGGCGGCCAGCAAGCGCGGTGAGCAGGGCTCGGCTGGGCCTGGGTGCAGTAGGTGGGGGGGGGCACCCCAAGTGTCAGTGCGGCCATCCCGCAGGACGGGGGGCCTGCCTCGGGGACTTGGGTGAAATTCGGGTGGGGGGCGTCGAGAGCCTGTGCTCAGGGCAAAGAACCAGCCCCCTCGGGCCCACTGGCATCCAGCTCCACCAGGATGGATGGCGCGGGCAGGTGTCCCATTGGCTGTATCTGCATTGTCCCGCCTCCTCCTGCTGCTCAAGAGCCTTTCCCGCCCGGCCCTCCAGCCTTCAAGCAGGGCCCCTCCGCCGTCCCCGCCCTGGGCCCCAGCACCAAGAAGAGGCGGCTCGGGGACGAGGACATGTATTACATGCACGTGAGTGTCCGATCGGCGAGCCCAGGCTGGGCAGTGGGGGGGCAGGCATTAGGACCCCCAGTCTAGGTCTGGCAGCTACATCCATCCATTCATCTACCCATCCACCCATCCACTCACTTGTCTTTCCATTCATCATTCATCCACCCATCCATCCACCCACCCATGCACCCATCCATCCATCCATCCACCCACCCACCCACCTACCCATCTACCCATCTATCCATCCCTCCATCCACCCACCAACCCATCCATCCATCCATCCATCCACCCACCCATCCATTCATCTATCCATCCACCCATCCACTCACTCATCTTTTCATCCATCCATCATTCATCCGCCCATCCACGCACCCATCCACCCATCCACCCACCTCTCACCCATCCACCCATCCATCCATTCATCCATTCACCCACCCACCAATCCATCCACCCATCCATTCATCCATCCATCCACCCATCCACCAATCCATCCATCCATCCATCCATCCACCCACCCACCAATCCATCCACCCATCCATCCACCCATCCATCCATCCATCCACCCATCCACCCATCCACCAATCCATCCATCCATCCATCCACCCATCCATTCACCGGGCAGCCCCGAGCAGCTGGTCACACCAAGAGCTGAGACCCGCCCTGCAGGCGGCAGGTGCGAGAGGGGAGAGCAGGTCCAGAGAGCCAGGCCAACGGGGCGAACTGCAGGGAGAGCAGGCACCGCCAAGTCAGGGTCTGTGTCGGCAGCTCCGAGCTTGGACACAGCGTGGATGACACAGCTCCTGGGGGGGCGGGCATGAGGAACCCCCAGTCTAGGTCTGGCAGTTACCTCACTGTCACCCACCACGGCTACACAGTGTCATGTGACATGAACCATCCAGTGGCGGATTAGGTCACCGTGTGCTTGGCTAGGACCGGTCTGCCCTTACGCGAGCTTTGCACTTGAGTCAAAGAATGAGCCCCGACTCCTAACACCCCCTATTGGTTGAGTCCTTTGCCTGAACCCCGAGTATGCTGAGCACTGAGGAGGGTGGAGAGGGCGGGGTGAAGGCTCAGGGGCAGGGGAGGGTGGGCGTGGCTGTGTGGATAGAGGACACCCGCCCGCCCTCCTGGGGAAGGGGGGAGGGGCTGGGGGTCCGGGCTACTGGGGGAGGGGGGGAGGGGCTGAGGGTCCGAGCTCCTGGGGAAGGGGGGAGGGGCTGAGGGTCCAGGACTCTGGTGAAGGGGGGGAGGGGCTGGGGATCGGGCTCCTGGGAAGGGGGAGGGGCTGAGGGTCCGGGCTCGGCGGCCTGGGCTGAGGGTGCCTCCGTGCAGGTGCGGGGCCGGGAGAACTTTGAGATCCTGATGAAGGTGAAGGAGAGCCTGGAGCTGATGGAGCTGGTGCCCCAGCAGGTGGTGGAGTCCTACCGGCAGCAGCAGCAGCTCCTGCAGCGCCCGTGAGTGCTCAGGGGGGTGGGCCGCGGCCCGGGGCCAGACGTTCCTTCCACGGCGGCCTCTGCAGGGCAGCGACGCCCCGCTTGGCGTCCCCTCCTCCAGGAAGCCTTCCCTGCCTGCTGCGGCCACGGCCAGCACTGATTTCCCTCCCACCCAGGGCCCCCTAAACGCCTATGCTGGAGGGTGAGGAGCGGGTGGTCGGAGCAGTGCCAGCCCACCAACACCCTGACTCCGTGCCAGAAGCCGCCCCCCTCCCTCGCCCTGGTCCCGGGCAGGCTGGGTGAGGACGGGGGTGTCTCTCACTCTGCTCAGGGCCAGGGGTCAGGCCCACCGCCCCGGGCAGGGCACCAGGCGGAGGTGACTGAGGGGCAGGCAGCGGCCTGTGCCCGTGCCCACGCGGGGCCCCTTTCCACACAGGAGCCACCTGCAGCCTCCATCCTACGGGCCGGTCCTCTCGCCCGTGAACAAGCCGCACGGCGGGGTCAGCAAGCTGCCCTCTGTCAACCAGCTGGTGGGCCAGCCGCCCCCGCACGGCCCCGCGGCCGGGCCCAGCCTGGGGCCCATGGGTGAGTGGCTGGGCAGCGGGCCCCGAGGTGGCTGGGAGGCCCCAGGGCAGGCCCAGCTCAGGGCCCTCACGGGGCCTCGCCAGCACTCCGGCCACGGCAGGAGGCACAGCCGGGGGGGGGGGGGGAGGGAGTGGCTCAGCCCAGTCCTGCTCCGGGGGGGGGGGGGGGGTTGTGCCGCGCCTCAGACAGGCCCCCCGCCTCCCCAGGCCCCGGGGTCCTCAACACCCACGGCCACACCCTGCCAGCCAACGGCGAGATGAACGGCAGCCACAGCTCCCAGCCCATGGTCTCGGGGTCCCACTGCACCCCGCCTCCCTCCTACCATGCCGACCCCAGCCTGGTCAGGTACGTGGGCTGCTGCTGGGCCTGCCGCGACCCACTGCCCCAGCCCCTTCGCGGCTCCCCGTCCGCGGCCCCAGCCTGGCTGGTCTCTGTCGCTGGCCGTGCGGAGAGCAGACAGAGGACTGAGCGGAGGGAGTGGGTCCCCGACAAAGGCCGGGGTGTCCTGGGGGCCTGCGGTGGCAGGGTGGCCGGCGGGCGCCCGGAGTCGCCCTGCAGGGGCAGCGCCCGCCCAGCCCGGCGCTCTCTGCAGCTTCCTCACAGGCCTGGGCTGCCCCAACTGCCTCGAGCGGCTCACGTCCCACGGCGTGCATAGCGTCTACCAGCTGCAGAGCCTCAGCCTGGAGGTAACCGTGCGCCCGCGCCCTCCCCCGTGCCCGCCCGCCCGTGCCCGCAGAGGGCTCTCCCCTCCCACGCGTGGGCTCTGGCTGTTCCTGTTCTTAGCTGTGAGATTTGGGAGCTCTTTCCCCCAAGCCCGTCCATATCCCCACCTCTGGCTTTGGCTGAAGTCCACGCATGAGCCTACGCAAGTCTGGCTGTGTGGATGGTGGCTGAGGGTGGCACAAGCAGTGGGCAAGGTGGCATGGGGTGGCACGGGGTAGTGTGACTGGAGGTCACGGCCCCCAGCGGCCAGGCTGCCTGAGGGGCTGTCTGAGTCTGAGTTCCAGAGGCGAAGGCCGGGGGCCTTCGAGCTGGCCGGTCAGCGCCCGCTCACGGGACACAGGCTCTAAGGCTGCCAGCGTCTGAGCTCAGCATGGCCAGGCTCACCCCAGAGCCAGCGTGGGGTTCTCCCAGACCAGGAGGCCTGCCCAGCCCAGCGCCACCGGCCAGGTCCGGGTCTGTCAGAGGAGCCGGGCCCTCCGAGCGGCCCTGTCACCAGCTCACGTCCCTCATGTCGGCCCCGCACAGCGTGACCTGTGAGCAGGGGCGGGGCATCCGGGCTCCGCTCTGGGCTCAGGGGCCGGAGCCGGAGGGTCCTCAGGCCGGCGCACTGGTCACGGGACTGATAGATGGGCCCAGGCCGTGCACAGCTCGGCAGTGACCACACACTGGTGTCCTCGCCCATCCTCACTCCTCAGCCCTCCTGACACCTGTCAGGGCCCCCAAAACAGCGTGTCCAGGCCCACGGCAGGGGAGGGGGGGACCCAGACTCCGGTCCCTGTGGGACCCTCAGCACTGCTCTATTGCACCCCACTGTCAAGCTTCGGAGAGTCTGGGTTCTGCAGGTCAAGGGGGTCCCTCGCCCCCACCCTCCCCCCGTCCTGGGGGCCCTGCAGGTCAGGGGGTCCCACGTCCTCACTGGTCCTGGGGGCCCTGCAGGTCAGGGGGTCCCTCGTCCTCACTGGTCCTGGGGGCCCTGCAGGGAGCAGGGGGTTCCCGTGGCGGGTGCCTTGGGAGAGGATGGGCAGTGCCCGCAGCTGCCTCCACCAAGGCCGCCCGCCCCCGCAGGAGCTGGGCGCCCTGGAGCTCCCGGACCAGTACCGGCTGGCCATCTGGAGGGGCCTGCAGGACCTGAAGCAGGGCCACGAGGGCGGGGCGCAGCCGCTGCTCCGCTCGGGGGGCACCGCGGCCACCTTCCCGCTGGGCGCCGGGGAGCTGCCGCGCCAGCGCGTCATGGAGGCCGTGCACTTCCGCGTGCGCCACACCATCACCATCCCCAACCGGCCCGGCGCCGCCGCGCCTGACGACTGGCCGGACTTCGGCTTCGACCTGCCGGACTGCAGGGCGCGGAGGCTGCCCATCAAGGAGGAGCTGGCCGAGGCCGAGGCCAACTGACCGCAGGGCGCGGGGCCGCGGACCGAGGCCGGAAGCCTGGCTTTCCCTCTTCCTCTTCGCCAACGTCTGCCCGAGGCCGGACCGGGGGCCGTGCCCGGGACAGAGCCAGGCCAGGCCCAGCCCGCCCAGCCCGGAGAGGCCGCCGCGGACCAAGGACCACGCACCTGGCCCGGGGGACGATGCCGGGACCGGCCGCCGCCTCCCGCCCCCGGGAAGGCCGGGCTCCCTGGACCTGGGAAGCCGGGAGGGGAGCCCTGCCGAGCGCACGGCTCCTCCTGGGGCCCCGGGGCCTGGCCAGGGGAGGGGGCACCCAGGCCTCCCTCAGACGCAGTGGGCGGGAAGGCAGGCCCCTCAGGGCAGGGCCGTGGCTGCTCATAAAACCGCACCTTCCCCGCGGGTCACCTGCTTCTTTAATGAGCGTTTAGCATCCCGGTGGGACCGGAGAGCAGCAGGCCCGCTGGGGGGGCGGGGCGCACCTGGGGGCCCTGGTCTGGCTTGAGGGGGTGAAGCCCATGGAGGGGCAGCCTCCTGCAGGCCTGGGGCTGCGGGGGCCCTCCTGTCAAACAGCGCCCTCTCCCCTGGGAGACCCTGTGAGCTGGAGGCTGGGGCAGGGGAGCCCCTCTCCCCAGGGAGCAGGGCAGGAAGGTCCCTCCTGGGCTGGGCCTGGCTTCTGTGTGTCCCCCCATGGGGCCGCTGGGAGCCCCTCGTTCCAGGGGGCAGGGTAGGGGGCGCTGACCAGCGGGCATGCTGAGCTGAGACATCGCAAGGAGCAGGCGTCCGGTGCTTTCCAATCAGCAGGTCCCTGTCCCTGTGGGTCCCCCCGTCTCCGTGCCCCTGTGGGCCCCCCCCCGTCTCCGTGCCCCTGTGGGTCCCCCATGTCCGTGCCCCTGTGGGTCCCCCCATCTCCGTGCCCCTGTGGGTCCCCTGTCTCCGTGCCCCTGTGGGTCCCCCGTCTCCGTGCCCCTGTGGGCCCCCCGGTCTCTGTGCCCCTGTGGGGCACTCCTGCCACTGATGCCACGGAAGCAGGGTGGCCCAGGCTGGGCCAGGCGGACACAGCCCCGGGGCCCGAGGTTTGCTGGGGGCTGTGAGCTCTTAGCTGACGGCAGAAGGGGGCGGCGTCACAGGCCGATTTCCTCAGGCTTCCAGGCTCTTGGTGGGTCTGGGTGGGGAGGGGTGTCAGGGGAAGGGAGACCTCCAGAGGCTCAGCACTGTCCCTACGGGGTGAACAGGCCCTAGGCCTCCTCCGCCCCCACCTGCCTGGCAGCCCCTCCAAGCCAGGCGTCCCCCCAACAGGAGCGCGAGCGGGACCCGCCTTCGCTGGGGTAAAGGTGGCCTTCGCCGCCGGAGCCTGGGTCTGCGGCCGTGGGGCCCGCCCCTCCCTGCACGTGGCCCCTGGACCATACACCCCCTCCCTGCACGTGGTCCCCAGACCCACACACCCCTCCCCTCCCTGCACGTGGTCCCCAGACCCACACGCCCCCTCCCCCTCCCTGCAGGTGCCCCTGGGCCATACTCCTCCCTCTCCCTCCCCTCCAGGCCCACCCCCTCCGGGCCCACCCCCTCCAGGCCCACCCCCTCCAGGCCCATCCCCTCCAGGCCCACCCCCTCCAGGGCCACACCCGGGAGCTCTGGTCATCTACCCACTCTTGCCCGGAAGCCGGCCTTTCACCCGCCCAGCGGCCCGGGCCCCCTGCGCACGGGTCAGGGACGATCTGGGACGCGGTGTCCCTTGTCACGCCAGCCCACGTTCCCGCTCACGGGGTGAGAAAACGCGTCTTCTGTGAGCGCGGTGCTCGGAGCAGCTGGAAGGCCCGCAGTGGGGTGCGGTCTCGGGTTGGGGTGCCGTCCTGCGGGCAGGTGCGGACTGGGGTTGTCATTTCTGTAACAATAAAGCACGTGTCCCGTAATATATTTTATTGATTTTTTACAGAGAGGAAGGGAGAGGGATAGAGAGCTAGAAACGTCGATGAGAGAGAAACATCGACCAGCTGCCTCTTGCACACCCCTCACCGGGGATGTGCCCGCAACCAAGGTACATGCCCTTGACCGGAATCGAACCCGGGACCTTTCAGTCCGCAGACCGACGCTCTACCACTGAGCCACACCGGCTTCGGCCCGTGACTGTCTCTTCCGAGTCCATCTGACCCGGAGCCACGTGGATCCCACCGGGCGAGGGAGACGCAGCCCACGCGGGCCCGGCCCCCCGGTGGGCTTCTCCCGTGTTCCCGGGGGGCGATGGACCTCCTCCCACTGCTCCTCGGAGCTGGGCGCTCAGCGTGGACTCCAGACAAGAAGGCCGCGGGCCAGGGTCCAGCGAAGCCACCCCCTCTTCCCCTGCCCCGCTGGGGCTGACCTGGGCCCCGCCTGCCGCCCAGCCCCCCCCACGCTCTCCAGCCCATGGGGCCGGGGGTCTCGGCTTCAGGGACGCCCCATGGGGTGCCTGTGGCGAGCACACCCCGCTCCATGCTGTGGACGCTCCCCTCCCAACACGGGTGCTGTCCCCGAGCCTCCTGGGAGCGAGTCACATGTCTCTCTCACATGGATGTTTCTCTCTGGCTCTCCCTCTTCCTCCCCCTCTCCCTGAAAATCAATGGAAAAATACCGTTAGGTGAGGGTTAGCAACAGCCAAAGGGGCTGGAGAGTGAGGTTTTAATAAAACACAGTGGGCGTTTCTCTAGGCTGTGGTCGCATACCAGGGGTCTGCGTCTGTATTTTTTTTTTAATATATTTTATTGATTTTTTACAGAGAGGAAGGGAGAGGGATAGAGGAGTTAGAAACATCGATGAGAGAGAGTCATCAATCAGATGCCTCTTGCACACCCCCTACCAGGGATGTGCCCGCAACCAAGGTACATGCCCTTGACCGGAATTGAACCCGGGACCTTTCAGTCCGCAGGCCGATACTCTATCCACTGAGCCAAAAGGAATGACATCAGGGGTTGAAAAACGCTCCCCAACTGTGGACTTTAGCCAAGGCGTCCACTTCCATATCAGAGCCCCAGAGCCAATGTCAGGTTTAAATGAGGGAAAATATTGACGATGGAAAAACAGACAAAAATAAAAACCCCAGGGGCCTGGCCAGCAGGGCTCAGGGGCTGAGCGTTGACCTATGAACCAGAAGGTCAAGGTTCGATTCCTGGTCAGGCCCAGTGTGCAGTGTGCCAGAGGCAGCCGGTCCATGATTCTCTCTCATCATTGATGTTTCTCTCTCTCCCTCTCTCTCTTCCTCTCTGACATCTATCCTATCTAATCCTACATAATAAAAGAGTAATATGCAAATTAACCATCACCCCACTAAACCCACAAGCCACACCCACCAGCCAATCAGAGCAAGCATGCAAATAAGCCCAACCAAGATGGTTACCAGGAGGGAGGCTTGGGTTTCCCTGGCAATGGAGGAAGCCAAGCTTTCCATACACCCTGGCAGGCCCAGGCCTCCACTCAAGGCTACAAATTTTCAATTATAGAAGGTAAACAAATCCAAACAGAAATGGCAGCAGCCACAGAGCGAGCAGGAGGCTTGGCTCCACTCCAGGCTACAAAGTTTCAATTGTAGAAGGTAAATAAATTCCAGATATCAGGGCCTTCACTTGGGTCGCCACAGGGGCATGGCTGGCCTGCAAACCACCACAGGCCCCTTGCTCTGGCTGCCCCATGCCCCAAGGGAACCTCACCCTGATCCAGGACACCATCAGGGCAAACCAGATGGCCCCCACCCATGCACCAGGCCTCTATCCTATCTAATAAAAGAGTAATATGCAGATTGACCATCACTCCAACACACAAGATCCTGCCCCCATGTGGACACAAGATGGCCACCACCAGATGGCCAGCAGGGGAGGGCAGTTGGGAGCAATCAACCCTGCAGAGGAGGGCAGTTAAGGGGTGACCAGGCTGGCAGAGGAGGGAAGTTGGGGGCAAACAGGCTGGCAGGGGAGCAGTTATACATCAATCAGGCTGGCAGGCAGAAGTTGTTAGGGCAATCAGGAAGGCAGGCAGGTGAACAGTTGGGAGCCAGCAGTCCTGGATTGTGAGAGGAATGTCCAACTGCCCATTTAGGTCCTATCCCACCTACCAGGATCGGGCCTAAACAGGCAGTCTAACATCCCTCGAGGGGTCCCAGATTGGAGAGGGTGCAGGCTGGGCTGAGGGACCCCCCTGCTCCGGTGCATGAATTTCGTGCACCAGGCCTTTAGCTAAAGAGTAATATGTAAATTAACCATCACTCCGTGACAAAGATGGCGGCACCCATAGTGGCCGAGGCAGGACGCTGGCGGCGTTGCCCTGGCAACGTGAGCCCACCATCTGCACCCTGGCCACGAGGGGGGAGGGGAGGGCCTCTGGCTGGAGGTGGAAGCACCAGGAATGCTGGGAATTGTGGTTCTGGTCGGGACGCGGTGCCTGATCTCCCAGACGCTCGAGCGAAGGGCGCCTGGAGCAGTCACTGTTGTGGTGGGGGTGGAGGGAGAGCAAAGTGAGAGACGGCAGGGAAGTCAGAGGGTCGAGGAAAGGTCAAAGGGAAGAGATCCTGCAGCTTCCAGGAAATCTCCACCCAAGGAGCGAAGGGAAAAAAGCCTGTGATTCTGCGAGCCCCAGACCAGACGGGCGGGGTCTCACACACTTGGCTCAGAGGACTGCAGACAGACAGGAGCTTCGCTCCCTCGTGTTCCCAGGCGGAGGCGACGCATGACGCGGAGGTGTTCAGGGAGAGGACTTCATGCCGCTTGCTATGCCCCTCGCCAGTCACCGCTTTGGTGGTCAGTCACCGCTGTGTTAGCTGAGTGCCATATCAAGAGTGAAAATTAAAACTTCTCTATCTCTATGACAAGCAGGTCCTTACAATTTGGCAACTATCTATAACAATAAAAGTGTAATGATCAGGCAGGCGAGTGGTTAGGGGCGATGAGGCAGGCAGAGGTGGTTAGGGGCGATGAGGCAGGCAGGTGAGTGGTTAGGGGCGATGAGGCAGGCAGGTGAGTGGTTAGGGGCGATGAGGCAGG